CTGAAGTAAAATAATTAATTAAATGACTAATTGAATGATAATTGAGGATTAGCGATGAACAAATGAAGATATACTAAGGGAAAAAACAAGAACAGAAGATACAAAAAACAACTTCAGGTACAGTTTTGTACTAAAATAACTCGAAGTACAACAAATGATTAAATCATTAAAATGATCAGCAGATGATTAAATGAGGTAATAAAACTATTATGTTTAGAAATGTGTTGAAAAAATCTGCTCTCTGTTAAACAAATAATTCAGGGGGGCTAATAATTCTGACTTCAACTGCTTATGTATATATATATATATATATATATATATATATATATATATATATATATGTGAACTGTATTTGAATCATTTTTTGATGACTAAATTACCTTGGAAAGATTATACTCTCAATAACACTGTAATCATTTCTATTTGTAGCTTTTTTGTTTTGTTGTTACATGTTATTTTAGTTTTGCAGAATACATTTTAAATGCTTTGACGGCGTAAACCGTTTTGTGACTGATTTAAAGACTTTGATCACTAGTTCAAAGGTTTTCGAAACTAGAAATATAAAACAGAAGCAGAGTTTTGACAAAGACGTGCAATGCAAATCATTTCATTAAGGAAAATATGTGCAATGTTCTTACAGGTAATAGAATGAGACACATTGACACAATATGATCTGTTTTGATTTTAAACCCGTTTACTTTTGTATGACACAAGCTAAATTCTATGTTTAGCAAGAATGTAAAACATTTCAGTGTTCAGTGGGGTCTAAAAGTACACACAGAGATTTAAAATGCCATTTAAACCTGGATATTTCAGCTCAGGATTGTTGGAAATACATGCGTCATCTTACATTTTAGCAAACCATTCAATACTTTGTTCTGGTACATTTTGTTGCACGTTTCAGATGACACATCCATTAGAGGGTGATGTCTAGACTTTGGTGAATCTAAAATGCATTATTTAGGGTACATTTTGCTGTTTCAGATGCACGTCATTCTTGTACACACTCTCCAAAAGGCAGGGCTTGTCGCACAGATCATCAAGATCAGGGGTGTGCAAACTTGTTCCTGGAGGGCCGGTGTCCTGGAGAGTTTACCTCCAACTCTAATCAAACACACCTGAAGCAGCTAATCAGGCTCTTATTTGATAGAAACTTCTTGGCAGGTGTGTTGAAGCAAGTTGAAGCTAAACACTGCGGGACACCGGCCCTCCAGGATGGAGTTTGGACACCCCTGATCTAGATTAAGAAACCACTGACCTAAACCCAACCAATGTTTTTTTATTAAAGTTAACGTAAGAGAAAATTGCACTGCAACCACATAGATTTACCTTGATTTTACGTTACTTTTATCTCTTTTGTGAAACCATGCTTTACTGGACTTGAACCCGAGCACTCTGCAGCACAAGGGTTGAACTTGTATTTACAATAAGCCTGTTTTGGAATATTTACTTATTTATTCATTCGTTGTGTACTGATACAGTGCCTTATAAAAGTATTCCTCACCCTTCTTTTTGTCATATTTTATATTGCAGCATTATGTAAAAACTCCTCAGAGGCAAAGCAAGAACCAGATAAGTGTTCATACCCGATAACCCAGTTTCTAATTACAGCCTCAAGTCTTGCTGGATATGACAAGACAAACTTTTCACATCTGCATTTGGAGGATTTCTGTCATACTGTAAGTCTCTCCTCTTGTTGGAGAAATGGCCACATTTAGATTTTAGTATTGGATTGGGTTGAAGTCTTGAGTTCTGGAGTTTGTATTCACTGATTTGAAAAAAAAAAAATCAGGGTGACGAATAATTTTCTACTTTGTTTTGTATGTAAAACATTGACTTTTGGACCCCTTTTGATTCAATGTATAGCCAAAAATTAATAAGTACCAAGCTGATTTCCATTCCGCATTATATATTATGGATCATCTTTAACACTAGAACCACCAGGTGTCATTAAACACCTAAATCCAGCTCAGGCTCATTGGAAATATGTCCCTCGGTCTACATTTAAAAAAAAGTAAAATACATTGTTCCAGCTATATTCCGCTGAATGTTTCAGATGACAAATCCACAGCAAAGAACTGCATGAAAATATTTATTATTTACTCAATTATATATTATTTATCCTTTATTTATTCAAAAGACTCCGTCTCTGTATTATATAAATTAACAGAGTTTACTAGAGTCATGAGTTTTTTAGTTTTTTATTATCAGTTGACCCAGCACACTCACTCATGATATCAACCCTCAGATTCACATTCACTCATGGCATTAAATGTCCACGAATCACTTTCTTCTATCCATTGAGAATAAAACTGATTATCTCTGTGGGGGAAAGACAATGCCTTGCATTAAAGAACGGCAAAAGATACATTTACGCAAAAATGAAAATGCATGAAATTATTATATATGTAAATTTGACCTGTTGGTGCTCATATGTAAAAATACCTTGTAATCTGGTTATAGACTTGCTACTTTATTGAAAATCCTAGTTAAACAGTTTTAACAGTTTTTCAATTCATTCAGCCGGTGTCAGGGTGTGGAGCATTTTCAGCTTAGCTTTGCATAAATCATTGAATCTGATTAGACCATTAGCATCTCACTTAAAAAATAATAATATAAAGAGTTTTGATAATTTTCCTATTTAAAGCTGGACTCTTCTGTTGTTACATCACAGTTTAAATATCATTTTTGGTTGTGAATACATTTCAAGAAAACAAATAATTTAAAAAGTTTTACAAGATACTTTACATGTTGTTATTATCATTTTGCATTAAGACATAATGGAGAAAATTAGTGATTGACTGAAATAAGTTTTAAAAACAGCTCAATAAATAAATTAAAAATACATTTAAATTAGGCCAAAAGGCATTATAGAATTTTCGGGCTCCATGGCCAGAATTGCTTAGTGCACCCAAATCACTAAATCCGGCCCTGACTAAGACTGATGAAAAATTAAAAGTTGCTATTTTCTAGGCTGATATAGCTAGGAATTATCCTCTCAGTCTGACATAATAATCAAAGGAACTTTGCTGCCATGACTAGGCTGCAGCAGGAGCAATGATATTACGCATTACTACAGAAGAGTCAACCTTAAAAATAGGAAAAAGATCTAAACTTTTTAAAAAAAAATTTGGAGTGAGATGCTAATGGTCTAATCAGAGTCAATGATTTTTGCTTAGTTAAGCTAAGCTAAAAGTCCTCCTGTCAGAGATCATCTGAATGGATTCAAAAATGGTAAAACTCAACTGTTTAAGTTTAGTATTTCCTTTCCAATTAAATTAAAATTGTATTTCCAAAAAAAGTGGAGCGATCCTTTAATACCTGAGAGGCAGTCAACTTTACCCAGTGGTGGTCCTAGTGTTAAAAGTCCATGCAGTCTGGTTCTTGTTAAAGGTTTAGTTTACTTCCCTAATTCAATGACTATTTTGATTATTCTACTTTGTATCATATAATGAATGTCAATGGTGCTCAGTGGCTTGAACTTAAAAATTGCAGCTTCAAATGGCTGTAAATGGTCCCATACTTAAAAATGACTTTTGCTGCTAGTTTAAACAACTTATTTAAAATGAGTTCAAATAGCTCAATTCTTAAGGTTTTTTTTTTGGGACAAGCTAATTGTTTTATGTTTAATACACTTACATTTTTAAATTTGTAAGAATTTGTGTCGGAACAGCATGAAGGAATTGCGTGGAACCCAGCATTTTTTACAGCGCAACCTAAGAATAAGATGCTTAACAACCCAATTAGCTATTTTCTTAAAAACAAATGAATATATATTTACTGCATACTTTCAACCAAAGGGTTTGCATTTACCAAAAGATAGTGGCAGATTAGCTTTTGTGGTTAAAATGTATATAATTGTTTATTTTTTAGAAAAAAAATTTCATTTTGCTAGGTTACACACTGAATTCTATACACTGTAAAACCAAACCGTCCAGTTTATCAAATTAAATGTAGTTAACTCAAAATTGACTGAAAGTTAGTTTTACTCATTTGAAAAGAGTTTTGAACTGTGTTGAAGTTAATGAGTTAATTCAATACCCCATTACTTCACACTAAATGGAGTAAGTTCAAAGTACTCACATAGATTTTATTTTTTTTTAACTCAAATGGTTTGTAGCAATTGTTTCCTCAAATGGTTTGACTTGCGTTAACTTATTGGGTTTTACAGTACTCAGTTGGTTTCAGTTTTCTTCCTTTATTTTATTTTACTGTGCTCAAATTGCTCCGTTTACTCAAATGGATTAAGTTCACAGTACTCATTTGGAATAGTTTTTGAACTTAAATGGTTTGTTGCTATTGGTTTCCTGAAATGGTTAGCGTTACCTTAACTTTTTGGGGTTTTACAGTGTACTGCGGTCATTTACACCCATTTGAAGCTGTGCTGAAACTATAGTTTGGAAGTTCAGACCACCAAGAACCATATAAGTTCATTATATGAAGAAAAATCCTGCATATTTTTTCTCAAAACCCTTAAAGGGAAAGGTCACCCAAAACTGAACATTTCCTCAGCATTTACTCTTATGAAAGTCTTATGACTCTGTCAAACACAAAAGAAGATATTCTGAAGAATGTTGGAAAAAGCAGCCATTGATGTCCAAATCACAACGAAGTCAATGGCCATTTTCTCCTACATTCTTCACAATACCTCCCTTTGTATTCAACAGAACAAAACTCAAACAGGATTTGTGCAAGTGGAGGATGAGTAAACGATGACAGAATGTTCAGTTTTGGGTGAACTTTCCCTTTAATTTAATTTCGACTGAAGAAAGAAAACTTTTACACTGAAAATAATATTTATTGATTAACTAAACATTTTTAAGTTAAGTAATTGCAAACAACTGAGTTTTAAACAAACACATTAATTTAAACATTACTTCATTTAATTAGTTTGTTTAAATTCAACCAAAATAAATTGTTTGCAGCAGCTTATATTAAAAAATTGGGTGAACAAACTAAATAATTATTTTCAGTCTATGAGTTTGAGGAAATGCTCGTTCTAGAAGTGAACTAATCTTTTAATGGCGTTTGTGAGTGTGTGTTTTTGCTCTTCAGGACATGAATGCTCTCACGCTGCCCCGGATGACCGCTCTGCATATGGGGCAGTGACGCAGACTGGCGGCACAGTCGCTGCAGACCACCAGATGACCGCAGGGGATGAAGACCATGGACACCAGTTTGTCCATGCAGACCTTACAGGTCCTCTCCTCCTGAAGCTGCCTTAGCTGCTCCTCTGGACTCAGGTCTGAGCGCACTGAAAAACACACACGGACACATGAGTTTGAACATTTTCACTTGGTCTGGATCAGATGAGATGATCAATTGGATCTGGTTCATCTCGAGGCTACTGGATAGAGGGATTAAGCTGTATGCAAACACACACTCACACAAACACACTCACACATTATAAGTGCAATGAGAGCATGTTAATATGAACCTTTCTCCCTGCTTGAGACCTGCGTTCTTGTTCTTGTCGTTCTTGGTGTTCTCTGCGTCTCCACAGTCTCTGAGGAGACAAACATCCTTACGTTAGTGGAGGGTCATTTTATAAAACATGTAATTTAATTTATCTTTAAATAAACAGTATAGCAAAATAATATATATTAAAAAATTACTGTTTATTACTGTTTATTACTGATATTTGGTTTACATTTTTTTAATAAACCAATAAATTAAAACATCACAACTATTCTATTAAGCTGTAGTGTTATTGATAATAAGAATAATTTCATTATTATTATTTTTATTATTATTATTAGTAGTAGTAGTAGTAGTACATTGTGTTTTGTAATTCGTGTTTTTATTTTTTATTTGTCCTTGTTTATTTCTGCTTTTGAGTTGCATTATGAGACCTTGATACTATTTAACCTTTAAAAAAGTTAGGAAAAGTGACTTTTATTTACATATTTAATAGTTTGAAGTGATATACTGTCTAGGTTGGGTTTTATATAAACCTTATAATAAACTGCCAGTATATTTTCTCTTATTTTACGGTCTTATTTCTCTATAATTATTATGTATTATACATTATATTATTTCAAACAACTAAAATGTCAATTGAAGTCACTGTAGAGTTGAATTTTCAATATCAAAAGTTGACAAAGCAGAGATCAAGAGCCCATAATGCAATTCACAAACAAAAAACACATGTGAATCGCAAAATCTGGAAACGGTTAATAACAGATATATGATTAACTGTAAAAACAGATATTTTTACAGTGTAGTTGTAATAGTATTACTAATATTATTTTTTCAAATCATAAATATTAAACTATTCATCCATTTATTCATTTTCCTTCGGCTTAGTCCCTTTAATTATCAGGGGTTGTCACAACGGAATGAACCGCCAACTTATCCAGCATATGTTTTACAAAGCGGATGCCCTTCCAGCTGCAACCCAGTACTGAGAAACACCCATTGACTCTCATTCTCACACATACACTACGGCCAAATTAGTTGATTCAATTGACCTATACCCCATATCTTTGGAGTGTGTGGGAAACCAGAGCACCGGGAGGAAGCCAACGCCAACACGGGGGAGAACATGCAAACTCCACACAGGAATGTCAACTGACTTAGCCGGAACTCGAACCAGTGACCTTCCTGCTGTGAGGTGACAGTGCTTACCACTGAGCCACCGTGTTGTTAATATTAAACCAATGAAAATATATAATTCTGGTGAGTTGCATTTTTATAATAATAAAGATCATTTTTAAAGATTTTTTTGTAAAATAAAAAAAATTATTCTACTAAAATACACCAAAATTTCACTTATCATTAACCTCTAAAATATTTAATAATATTCATGGCTGTAATTATTATTATTTATTTTATTTATGTAATTATTCAACAAATTAGTAAAAAAAAAAAAATTCTTTTAAATGTTAAACCATAGAGCTTTTATTTGAGAAGAAAACAGGAAATTATCTTTTGAAATGCTTCAACATATTAATTTTCTTTTTGCACAAAAGTGCTCTTGGAGCTTCATAATATTACAGTTGAAATTATACACAGAATTGTTGTTACTTTTCTAGCCTTTAATGTGTTGGGAACGTTTCTGTCTATGGAGGATGAGAGAGCACTCTGATTTAATCTAAAGTATCTTTATTTGTTCTCTGAAGATGAACAAAGACCTCAGGATTTACGAACGACATGAGGATGAATAATTAATAACATAATTGTCATTTTTAGGTGAACTAACCCTTTAAACTACACTGTAAAAATAAATCCGTAAATTTAAGGTTTATTTCTGGCAGCTGGGGTGACAGTAAAATAACGTCCGTTAAATTACTGAAATTTACCATAAAATAACAGATTTAAATTACATAAATTTACCAGAAATTTTATTTTAAAGAAATGTCTGTAATTTAATATCTGTTTTACGGTATATATCTGTAATTTATTGGCTGGTATTTAACGGATTTTTTTACGGAAATAAACCGTAAAATTACAGATAATTTTACAGTGTAGAGTTGAAATCAAAATTATTAGCCCTTCTGAATTCAAAGACCCCTCCGCCCCACCACCCTGCCCCACTGTTGATTTCCCCCCCCCCAGTTTCTGTTTAACAGAAAGAAGATTTTCAACACATTTCTAAGCATACTAGTTTGAATAACTCATCTCAAATAACTGATTCATTTTATCTTCGCCATAATGATGGTACATAATATTTTTCTAGATATTTTTCAAGACACTTCTATACAGTTTAAAGTCACAGTTAAAGGCGTAACTAGGTTAATTAGGCAAGTTAGGGTAATTAGGCAAATCATTGTATAACAGTGGTTTGTTCTGTAGACAGTCAATGCTTATCGGGGCTAATAATCTTTACCTTAAATGTTTTTTTTTAACTGCTTTCATTCTAGCCAAAATAAAACAAATAAGACTTTCTGCAGAAGAAAACATATTATAGGAAACACTGTGAAAAATTAAAAATCATTTGGAAAATATTTGAAAAAGATAGTAGAAATTCATAGGAGGGCTAATCATTTTGATTTCAGCTGTATATAAACATACATAATAAAGTTTTATCTTGTTTTGATAGAGTAATGTGTTTGCAAACAGAGGATGAGCCACACCTGATCTTGTGTCCCCTGTCTGCCTCTCCTCCTCCTCCTCGGCCTGCAGGACGTCCGTCACCAGATCAGAGACGGAGGTGTAGTGCGCACCGGTGAGCAGAAAGCGGGACTGAACCAGGCTCTCCACGAGCGAGTGCTGGAAGCCCATCTGCAGCACCGCCTGCACCACAGGAGACAACATGGGTGCCGCCACTGATCTCTGCCCACCCAACACCTCTGCCAGCGGGACACAGGAACGTCAGAGCATGCATGAGGACTACTGTGATCTTCACTTGAGAGGGAAAATGATCCCAGCGAGGATCAATACAACCGGAATGTGTGCATTTAAAGAGATAGTTCATCCAAAAATGAAGCAGTGATTTTCTTCTTCAGCTCAACACAGAGGAAGATATCCTGAAGATTGTTCAAAGGAATGGCCATTGACTTGCATAGGGATAAAGAAAATACTATAGAAGTCAATAGCTGCTGGTTTCCAACTTTCTTCAGGATATCTACTTTTGTCTTTAACAGAAGAAAGAAACTTAAACAGTTTTGGAACAAGTGTAAGGTGAGTAAATAATGTAGTAATAATGAAGGAAGTTCTATTCTGTGGTTGTTTTTGAACTTCCTTTTCAGTTGTCTGAGGGGAAATGACAGGAATAACCAATGACAAAAACTGCTTAAATTAATTGCTCTAAAAACAGTGTTTATGACTATATATAAATAAATAAAACATTAAATAAAAAAATTTAACTAAAAATGCCAGTTTCAGTTGCTCCTTACAAGATTTGCTATTTTAACAAAAGTTATCCCGTAGCTTAATAATATTCAGATCGAACCACTGAAGTCTTGTGATTTGCTTTGAGGATGTTTTTTTAGTACTTTTTAAGACAGGAATCACAGGACTGATTTTACTAATCCCCAAAGACAAGAAGAAATAAAGTAGGGACTGCAAGTTAAAGGGAAGTAGTTGAGTAAAAGTACCAATACTGCAGTAAAAATGTACTTAAGAGAAAAGTAAAAGTACAGTAAATTACCATCTCTGAGAAAAAATTCTCAATTACAGTAGTTTGAGTATTTGTAATTAGTTACTTTACACCACTGGTTGGGTTTAGGAGTGGAGTTTGATGCCATGCCTCCTTTTAAAAATCGTACATTTTAATATGACAGAAGTTAAATATAAATTTGTATAAATTATCCACTAAACTGACATAATGTAAAGTAGTTACATTACCTTTCGAGATCAGGCTGGATCTACGATACCAAAACACATCTAAATTCAGGGTTCAGACAAAATTTTTATCTTTTTGACATTGAATGAATGTAAGCCTATTGTAGGAGACATCCAAAACTAAATATTAACCATTTAGAATTACATTAAGGGGAACATTCAAATTTTAAAATGACAAAGGTATCCTTAAGGGTGTCGTAATTTGCTGTTTTAAGTACAAGTGTAAACAGGGCTAGTGTGTATGATACATTATGCAGATCAAGATGTTTCTGCAGGCAATTATTTTGTAATAGCAAAGAATCAGCAAGTTCAGGAATGTTTCTTTGCCAACAGTGACCAATGATTTATGGTAAACTGCAAACTGTAACATCATTACTGTTAGTAGGAAAATGGACAATTAATGAATACAAAATAAGAAAAGAAGTTCCTGTTCCTGGATGAAAAGTAGGTTGTGAGAGCTGGAACAATAAAAACAACTCCTGAGGGACATAAAATGCATGCAACCTGATATTGTTATTCTGCTTATTACATGGCTCCTTGCCCAGAAAATAAACACAGGAAATTTGGATTTTATGCTTGTTTCACGGCAGAGCATATAGCTGACATTTGCAACACTGACGTCATGGATGATGGACATGAACAATGGTCATTTTTCAGACATATCTGAATGTTGTTACCCCCCAATCGGAATCGAGTATTGCATTGAGTCATGTAATAAACATACACAAGAGTGTGTTTATATAAAGCACACAAGCACTGCTCACAGCAATAGAAAATTTTAGATTTCAGGGGTTTTCAAACAGGGGCACGAATCCCAAAAACACCATAGGAAGGGCTAAAGAGTCCTTGAGCAATTTGAATAAATTAATTAGATTTTACTGCAAATTTAATACAAAATATTGTTAGAAATCTCAATATAACTTATTCATTAATTTATTTATGAATGTTTATTAATTACTGGTTGTTTGGCTCTACACTAGACAAAATAATTATTAAATTTACTACATTTTTTGAATTTAAAGTTGAACATTACTAAATCATATTTGTTTGTTTACATTCAGCCCATATAAATTTTTTGCAACCACTTTCCTTAAAAACATTTAGTAAATCAAAATTTTTCAGTGTATTTTGTGTAAACTTTTGGAGTAAAACTTATTATTAATTATGATTATCATGGGATAATTTGTCAAAAAATAATTAAGCATTTTATTTATTTATTTTTTGCAAATTAACTTCACTTCAGACCTTTTAGGTTACTTCAAAATGTCATATTTAATTCAGTTCAATTGATTGTGGCATTCTAATCCTTTGAAAACCCCTGTCTTTTGCTACAAACTATTTAAAAATAAAGATCTGGATTGTCTTACCTGGTGTAATGTTTCCTGCAGCTGATGATAGAGATCCACCCTTTAAAACAAAACAACACAATGAAACCCCTATAGCGATGAAGTTAGCTGAATAAAATAACCATAAACTGTTGTTGAGGTGCATCGTTCTTTCTCACCCCTCTCCCATTCATGTTGAAGAAAGACTGCTGGACGTTACGCACGTATTCCTGTCCTCTGGATTGCAGCAAATACTCACATCTTTGTAAGACACAAGAGAAAATGATATAGTCAGCACACACAACACACACAAAACTTTACTAAAACACCATTTTTAAATAGAAAATATTAATAATCCCCAGTCAGTAAGTATTAATAACATTGTATTGTACATATTACACTGCAGAACTCTCTTCAAATGATAAATAAATACTCTTAAAGGGTCATTTTAAGCTTATTTAAAGATTTGAAACAATGTTTATTTTGTTAGCTCACTTTATTATTCTGAATGTGAATAATTTATCTGTGTAAATGAATCCACAGGAAAAAAAACTAATTGTTTTGGTAATCCTCTGTAAAAGTCTGACCATTTGATTCCGTATTTGGAGTGGCGGTCCTTCTGTTGCTATGAGGAAATGATCTGCAAAATGAACGCCAACATTCTGTTTCAGTTAGAAACACATCAACCATGCTGAAATAAAAGTCTCAGCAATTTGTGGTTTGTGCAGACTTTAGTGCAGGGGTCACCAATCTCGGGCCAGGAGGGCCGGTGTCCCTGCAGGTTTTAGCTCTAACCTGCCTCAACACACCTGCCTGGGTGTTTCAAGTATATCTAGTAAGAGCTTGATTAGTTTTTCAGGTGTGTTTGATTAGGGTTGGAGCTAAAATCTGCAGGACACCGGCCCTCCAGGAACAAGTTTGGTGACCCCTGCTTTAGTGTATAGTGTATTATTCTACAAAAAAGAGATATTTAATTTACTGTAATTTGCCATAATTGTTTGTGGAATTCATTAATAATTTCTGAAAGCTATTTCTACACTACATACACACTCACTGGCCACTTTATTAGGTGCACCAGTCTAACTGCTTGTTAAAACAAATTTCTAATCAGACAATCACATGGCAACAACTCCGCATTTAGGTGTGTTGACATGGTCAAGACGATCTGCTGCTGTTCAAACCGAGCATCAGAACGAGGAAATAGGGTGATTTAAGTGACTTTGAACATGGCAAGGTTGTTGGTGCAGGACGGGCTGGTGTGAGTATTTCAGAAACTGCTGATCTACTGGGATTTTCACACACAACCATCTCTAGGGTTTACAGAGAATGGTCTGAAAAAGAGAAAATATCCAGTGAGCGGCAGATCTGTGGGTGCAAATGTCTTGTTGATGCCAGAGGTCTGAGGAGAATGGCCAGACTGGTTTCAGCTGATAGAAAGGCAACAGTAATTCAAATAACCACTCGATACAACAGAGGTATACAGAAGAGTATTTCTGAACACACAACACGTCCAACCTTGAGGTGGATGGGCTACAGCAGCAGAACACCACACTGGGTGCCACTCTAGTCACCTAAGAACAGGAAACTGAATTGGAATTCAATTGGAAAAGTGTTGCCTGATTGGAAAAGCGTTGCCTGTTCTGATGAGTCTCAATTTCTGCTGCAACATTTGGATGGTAGGGTCAGAATTTGGCGTCAACAACATGAAAGCATAGATCCATCCTGCCTTGTATCAACAGTTCAGGCTGGTGTTGATGGTGCAATGGTGCAAGGAATATTTTCTTGCCACACTTTGGGCTCATTAGTACCAATTGAGCATCATGTCAATGCCAAATCTGAGTATTGTTGCTGACCGTGTTCATCCCTTTATGACCACAGTTTACCCATCTTAATGCACCATGTCATAAAGCATGAATCATCTCATCTCATCTCTTTTTTTTTTAGTGTAGAAGAAAAGTAATTCATCCCTTACTGTGGAAACCATTTGGCATGCTCCTGCCAGGGATCGTCTCCTGGTTCCCAGTTCCTCAAACCACCATCACAGAAGAAACACTTCACGTTGTCACCATGACCTGAGAAACAGACAGACACTCATTTAATTTTTACCATCTAAAAAAAAAATTATACACAAAATACATTCAACACACAAACACACGATTAATTCATATGCAGTATTGTCATAACTTAAACGATGGTCAAAACAGCAATAACCTTTGAAAGAATGTTTTTATAAATGAACATGTAGGGTATATGATGATTGTCAAAACTTTCCTCTCCATGTGCACCAGATACTTTCCTATAAACACTCTGTTTCTGCGAAGACTGAAATTCTGAGTGTGCTTAGGTGTGCTTCACTAACCACCTTTAGGAGACATGCTCTTTCCTCTCTGTGTGCATGTGTATGTGTGTGTATTAAAAAAACTGCTAAACTAGCTTAGACTTGTAATGGCATCTTGCTGCTCTGGGCAACATGGTGGTTTAGTGGTTTACACTATTGCGTCACAGCAAGAAGATCACTGGTTCGAGTCTTGGCTGGGTCAGTTAACATTTCTGTGTGAAGTTTGCGTGTTTTCCCTGTGTTCGCGTGGGTTTCCTCCGGGTGCTCCGCTGTCCCCCACAGTTCAATGACATGCGGTATAGGTGAACTGAATAAACTAAATTGGCCATAGTGTATGTGTGTGAATGTGAGAGTGTATGGATGTTTCCCAGTACTGGGTTTCAGCTGGAGAAGCATCCGCTGTGTAAAACTTACGCTGGATAAGTTGGTGGTTCATTCCGCTGTGGCAACCCCTGATGAATAAAGGGACTAAACCAGGGACGTCAAACTCAATTTCTGGAGGGCCGCAGCTCTGCACAGTTTAGTTCCAACACTAATTAAACACTCCTGATCAAACTATTTGAGTCCTTCAGGCTTGTTAGAAACCTACAGGTAAAGCTGCGGTCACACTAGAGTTTGTGTGTGTGAAATTCTGTTGTACGGCGCTGCGAAAAGGGGTGAGATTAAACAAGATTATTAGACATTTAAAAAAGCGAGCGATTGCTCCATGTTTTAAATTTCTGTCCAGAGAGGTCATGTTTTGATCCTCGATTGGCCTCACGCAGTCAAGTGATGCAATTTCGCAGGTCAGAGTTCATCAAGCTTGAACTTTGCACCGCAGCAACCTGCGAAATTTGATGCATGACCCTGCGTTTCCGGTCTGACGCATTCGCATGCGTATGAATGAAAGTCAATGGGAGGAAAAGCGCAGTGTGACCGCAGCTTCAGTGTGTTGGGGCAGGGTTGGAACTAAACTGTGCAGGGCTGCGACCCCCCAGGAATTGAGTTTGACATTCCTGGACTAAACTGAAGGGAAAATAAATGAATGAAAATTACTGCACTCTTGGCATCTAAAGTGCTTCTTTTATTTTCAATGTAAATAAGGTATAGAAGCTTGACAGTTACAAACAGTTCTATCAGTTCAGATTTTCTCAGTCAAAATGTTAAGTCTCTCAGAATGTGTCTTATTGACACTTTTTTCCTCTCGTAATTGTGATTTTCACAATTTTTCACATCAAGCTTCTGACTTTTTTTGCAAATGGGAACTTATTTTTTATATTTCAACTTTATTTTTATTGTTCAACAGCCAAGAACAAAGAACACACTTCACACTACACATACATATGATACATGTTACATATTCAGCCACCTGTCACACCAAGAAAAACAACATATAGCAAACATATATGGAAATTAAGGTTGTGGTACCTTTGAATGTACATACTCATTTATCCTAATTTTAGATGTTTCCAGATATTATCCCATTTTCTATGTACTTTTCCCTCATTGTTCAATCTCCCCAGCATACACTCATATGATGCAATATTAATCCACTCTTTCATTTCTGAATGATTAAATGACATTACATTTATATAGCGCTTTTCTGGGCATTCAAGGCTCTTTACACAATGAGGGGGAATCTCCTCATCCACCATCAGTGTGCAGCATCCACCTAGATGACGTGACGGCAGCCATTTTGTGCCAGATTGCACACCACACACTATTGGGTGGTTGGTGGAGAGGAGACAGGGTGATGAAGCCAATTACGATATGGGGAGAGTTAGGAGGCCATGATGAACAGAGGCCAGTGGGCAAATTTGGCCAGGATGCCAAGGTGAAACCCCCTACTCTTTTTCGAAGGACATCCTGGGATTTTTAACGACCACAGAGAGTCAGGACCTCGGTTTTAAGTCTCATCCAAAAGACGGCAGTATAGAGTCACTGAGCAGTATAGAGTCCCCATCATTATACTGGGAAATTGGGACCCACAAAGACCGCAGTTTGGGCACCCCCTGCTGGCCTCACTAACACCACTTCCGGCAACAACCTAGCTTTCCCATGTGGTCTCCCATCCAGGTCCTGACTGGGTGCAGCCCTGCTCAGCTTCAGTGGGTGACCATGTGAGAGTTGCAGAGAGCTAGCTGCCGGATTTCTGGCATTCTGGGACACTTCCAATTACATAGTATCATCCTAGCAGCTGTAATGCATCCAATCTTGAGAAGAATAAAGGAATTTTTACCTATATTAGGTATCACTAATTTGTCACCCAGAAGGCATAGCCATGGCTCTACAGGTAAGTAACAGCCTAGCCACATTTTACAGCACAATGGGTAAACTAGACAACATTCCCAGATCAAATACGTACCTTCTTCTTTATTGCATTTCCAACACTGATTATTTCCAGCTAGTCCCATCCTATAGAGTCTGGATGATGTGTAGCAGTATCTATGTATTATTTTGTACTGAATGAACTTTCCTATGACTTGCAAATGAGATTTTTATTTTTCTGGCAACTAAGACTTTATCAGTTTATATAAGACAACTCACTTCTTTAAGTGAATCCTTGCACTGAATAAATTTACATATGACAATGTTGGTAACACTTTCCAATAAGGTTGTATTAGTTAATGTTAGTTAATGCATTTACTAACAAGAATAAACAATGGCCCATGCATATATTACATTATTTGTTCATGTTAGTTAACGTTAATAAGAAAATGCAGTTGTTCATTGTCAGTTCATGCTAACTCACGGTGCATTAACTAATATTAACAAGCATGAACTTTGACAATGCATTAGTAAATGTTAAACTATGACTAAAAATTGATGTACGATATGGTTTGTAAACTGGAAGCTTCTGTAGCCTAAACAAATATGTGTGTGGAGCACACCTGGCAATAAAACTGATTCTGATTCTCACAAGTATTGTTACATTAACGAATGAAACCTTAAAGTGACCACAATATTGTCTTTTTTTCCTCTTGCCTTTTTTGATTATATGTCACAATTTTTATATTTTATCTGTTAATTCTTACTTTGTATCCTACAATTGAAACCCCTAATAAGTTGACTGAACGAAATTAATTGAGTAACGGAGTCTCCCAAAACTTGCATATTTAAGTTTATTTAACTTGCCGGTTTGTTAGATTATACTTAAATTGTTCAGTTCATTGTGTGTGTGTCTGTGTATAATTATATACTATAAAAAATGTTTAAAAGAAAAATAGCAATTTCTTCCCATTATATTATACATGAAGTCTTGTTTTCTGATTTAAAAAAGACCTTGCACTAAAAGTTTGCACAAGTTGGAATTTTACAGTCAAGACTACATTAAAAACAACCTATTTTTTTCAAACGATTCATTGTGATTTTGAACTTATAACTATACTTGAAATCTTAAGTTTATGCATTTTCATTGTATATGAGTTAAATGAACTCATAATTTTAGGTTACAGGACCAAAACGCTAAATTTAAAGTAATGTCCAGTCAACTTTACTTGATTGTTTAAGTAAAGACAACATTAGGGTTTACAGTGTAAATGAATATCCTACAACAGAGTTTAAAACTCATAATAATTCAGATGTTTTCTCAGAACTTTGATTTCTTTCTAACAGAACTGCTTACAGTTCCTAATAACTACATAATTTATATCAGAATTGTGGCTTTACTTTTGTCCAAATTTTCATTTTATATCTCACAATTCTATCTTTTTGTGTGCTATGTGACAATTCTGGCCTTTTCACCATATTTCTGACTTCTGACTAACAGTGCTAGAAAACCTGTAACCATTGACCTCCATAGTATTTGTTTTTCCTACAATAGAAGTCAAAGGTTGCAGGTTTTTATCATTCTTCAAAATATCTTCATTAGTGTTCTAAAGAAACTCGTAAAGGTTTGGAACCTCATAATGGTGAGTAAATATTGATTAAAATACGTAATTTTACGGAAAAAATGTTCTCTCCGTTAAACAAAAATTGAGGGGAAAAATGGAAGGTGGGGCCTAATAATATAATAATAAATTTCCTTGAATTTAAATTTCTGTGATTAAACCTCTGTTGTTTTACAATAAATTTCTGTAATTCAACGGCCGATTTACGTTTATATATATATATATATATATATATATATATATATATATAATTATACATAAATTGTATATTTTTACAGTGTATGCCTATAAATTACAATTTTGTTGTCCTCTGAGAGCAGATAGTGATATTAATTTCTGAATGCACACTTTCTACATAAGGAGCAACCAGAAACACTATTGCTTTGAGAATAAAGCGCTGTGCTCTGCTCTGTGCTCGCGGCCTCTCGCTCATTCCGTGCATTCACAGTGCTCGTGACTGCAGGCGCGTGACTGTGGCTTTGCGCGAGAAAGAAGCAGAAGCGCCTCAGTTTCACTTCTGATAAAATCAACATCATGTGAATCATCATAATTTTATTTCCTTGTTCCCAAAATAAAAGAAAAATTCTCCACGCACCTGTGTAGAAGAATCCAGCGCGTGCCAGTGTGTCGGGCTGCACTGCTGCTCCTGTGGGCCAGTTGTGGAAGGTAGATCGCCTGTTGTCCTCCGTCTCCATCTCCGAGTATGCAGCCTGTCCGGTCAGGCCCTGCTCGTCCATGGTCAAGCGCTGAAGCTGACTCAGCAGCTGACCGTCCACAGAATCAGAGGAGCCCCGCGGGACATTGCCCACATCCCTGCCTCTCATCAATCCACAGGTGGGGAAGTGCCTCTCGTGCTCCCCTCGCGGCGTGTCTCCATCCACCCAGTGCCTCAGGATGCCCTCACAACAGAAGCACTGCACCGTATCCCCGTAGCCCAGATAGTGAAAGCCAGCCCGTGCGAGCTCCTCTGGACTCACTGCAGCGTCGCTGGGCCAGTTGTGGAAGGTCTGGAGCCTCTCCTCCTCACTGCGCATCCCGAGCCGAACCTCCGCCTCCATGCGCGCGCTCCTCTGGCGCTCGTGTCCGCGATCTGCGCTCATCCTGCTCACCTTCCATAGCGGGCTGTTCAGGTGTGCCGAAGCCCCCCCTCCGCCCGCCATAGAGCCTATTATTACGGCCAGTGATAATAACAGCGCGGCGGTTCACTATAGCGCACACATTTCCAGAATGTAAGCAAGTTGTTAAAATGATCTGCTGCCCCGTGGCCGAGCCCTGAATAACAATTTATACAATAGACGCCTTTCATGGTGATTTTCTCTAACTTTCACATGATATCATATGAACATAGACCACCTTTTGCCTATAGGCATATTTATATTTTTTGTGGTTATATTAATATTGAAATATTTCATTGATACATTTATAAACACACATGTTTTGAAAGTGATAAGAAAAACAATAAACATCACCATCATCAAAATCATAAAAATAATATAATAATAAAAGTAGTAATAATAATAATAATAATAAGAATAATAATAATAATAATAAGAAGAAGAAGAAGAAGAATAACACAATAATACTGATAATGATGATGATGATGATGATGATGATGATGATGATGATGATGATGATGATGGAGATGTTCTTTTTAGATGATACTTTTAGATGATTTTTTCTTTAAATTTGTGTTGATTATTATTTTTGCTTTTTGTGAGCAACATTTTTTATCACACTATTAATTTTCATTTTTAAATTATTATTACCTTGCTTAAAAGGTAAACTAGGCACAATTTCAAAGAAAATCCTGCTTTCCAAAATGATGTTCTTACTTTTAGTTATAGATTATAAAATTATTTATTTCTATATTATTATTTTTGTTAATAGCTAATAATAATAATAGTTATTATTACCAATTAATTTGTATTATTTTAATGCTATTAACATATAACATAACATATAACTGTTATTATATGCCTGATACAAATAACAATGCTTTTTTAACTTTGAATTTTTAATACAATTTGTACAAAACAAGGCAAGAACCACAACAACACAAAATATATGTATAAAAACAAAAGAACAGCAACAACAATACTGTTTTGTTGTTGTTGAACTTCCCTGGCTTAAAAAAATCGTTTTTGACTGCATCTCCCACAATTCCTTGCCGGAAGTTCGTCATATGTTGACGCCAAACATAATGGCGGCTCAGTGAAACGCACAGGCTTCGCAAGATCCTTAATTTCGATCAATAAAGGCAAGTAAACGCACAAAACTTCTCTTGTTATCCACTGCACAGCTGAACGTTTGTTCATAACTAAGGTTCACTCGTTATAGTCTTCTGTTTAGACTCTGTTGGCCATTGCCGTGTTCTTTGCCTTCAGTGTGGGGTGCAGCGAGATTATTAACTCCAGTGAATTTATTTTCATCTCAAGTTATATTGCACATAGAATGTTATAGTTTTATTATGGTCATCCCCGTTTTAATGATTACATTTGACGTAGTTTGACTAAAATGAGGTTAATAATTTTACCTAAGGTATACAAAAGGCCCTTTCTATTTATTTAAGTCAAATCTGTTAAATGCATTTACCGAGGTATAAGAAAAGAATCTCCAAAATATAAGCAATATATGTGGCAGCTAATCTTCTATAGTGTACATCAGATTCAAAAAACAATATGAACATGTGGTGTTTTCAGAAATTATGTAACGTTAATCTGCCAAATGTGAAGGAATTAACGTTACTGTATCTAAGCTATAACGTTACTATGCTAGTAGAACAGTCTTTAACAAAATAAGCAACGCACTTTGACAAAAAATATTTTATTTGTGCAAAACGGGGAGTTTAAATGAAAGAACAGCAGTGAGTGTATCAAGAATAATAGAGGTAAAGTTGGTTTTATATTAGCACATTTGTTTATTTAGAAGTCTCTAACGTTATTGTTTAGCATGTTACTTTGAATATTCGATCGGAATTAGTGGTAGTGTGGCTTGAAAACAACATTAACACTGTTGACAATTTGACTGTGAACAATGTTGTACTTTGATAGTCATTTGCTGCTAAGTTAATATGATTTCGCTATTTAGAGTTTGCAAATACTTTTATATGGTTGTATTATTAAGGGGAAAGTCAGAATGTGCGTATATAAAACCAGCTTTACCTCTATTCGAGAATAAGATAACGATGATGTCAAATGTTTTTGTGCCGATTAAATGTTGAAGCTTTTATGGTGATATATGGTATTATCGCGATATAGAGCTTTAAATAGGTATAAAAACAAAGTCATTGGTATATTGCTGTATTTTATGCAAATTCAGGGAAAAGAAATGTTGCAACGTACAATAGGTAACACTTCACGATGAAGTTTCCTTGCTTAATGTTAGTTAATAGATTAAAATCAACAGTAAAAAAGGTAGATTCATTACAGTTACTATGTTAATGAAAGTAAAAAAATAAAGTGGAATTTTGTTAGTTAATAACCAAATTTAAAGGGCACCTATGGTGAAAAATCTACTTTTCAAGCTATTTGGACAGACATATGTGTAGGCATAGTGTATAGACCAGGATCTTGGGGTGATATAAAGTTACCCAGTGCTTTTTTTTTTAATTTAACAACATAAAAACAGTGGACCAATTCGAGCTGTTTTTAGATCGACCGCAACTTGACGCAGGAGTGCGGTCCCCCCGCCCACCGAATTGATTGACAGCTGTGCGCATTAACATTTCCCGGTAGTCACATGTATAATCATGTCAACAAGACCAGACGTGCGCAAAGCAACCGGAAATAAAAAATCTGTTCAGTTTGCTAGGATCATCAATCATCATCTAATGTGTAAGTTTTACATGTTTAAAATGTTTTAAAACAGAGCACGTGTGTAATGAAGTACAGCGATTCACTTCAGCTTTACTTCATCAGCACAGCTGCGTGTCAAAACAATTATAAAGGAAGACGTTTCAATCCCTGTTTGGGGATGTTAAATCAGGTTTATTTTGTTCAATAACATAGCAGATATCCACACAGCAGTGGAGATTAAGCTGTATCCTGTCACATATGCATGAAAAAACAGTGCAAAGCTAAGCGTGCTCTGTCTGTCCGTGTGTGTGTGTGTGTGTGTTTGTGTTTGTGTTTGTGTTTTTGTGTGTCTGCTGCGGTGTGTGTGTGTGTGTGTGTGTGTGCGCGCGCGTGAACTTTGTAACGATATTGTGTGTGACTAATCAATGACACTGCACAACAAATACTCCTTGGTAAAGTTCTTACTGTAGTATTTCTCACAAACGCTACACGAGATCTTACTTTAAGTCTGTCTGATGTCTGACGCAGACGAGGGAGGAGATTAAGGCAATCAGAAAGGCACGTAAAAATGGTAGGCGGGGAGGACTCGCCTTAAAGGCGCAGTACGACAAAACTACTGTAGTGAACTACTGGAGTCGTATTGTACAATGTTAATTAATGAATATTAGCCCATTTCTATCAATATTTCAGCATGTAGTAGGCCAGAAGTGAAAAGTTCCAATAAAGTGTTTAAGCTTTGGTGCTGTTTTGAACACCACTGCAAATTCAATGTGAACACTGTATAAATAATTATTCACAGTAGTTTGCAGATATTTAAATATCTTTATTGAGTTATTGAATATTGCCATGTGTCCTATCATGAAAAAGACTTTAGCCTTTATCTGGATAAATTAAAACCTGAAATTGGGAGGAATCTGAAAGTGTGTTAAATTTTAAACATTGTTCCTTTCAAAAATCTCATTTAAGTTTTTTTATACTGCTCAAAAACACATATATTAAACAAAAAAACAAGATATTTAAAACTTCAGGCATCATCACAATCATGTGAAAATGGTCTGTTGTAGGTTTTATTGTGGTTTTTATTATTATAAATCAATTTTCTTTTTATCATGAGCTGACGATTTGCCGGTTTATTGCAATCAAAAGATATCGTGCATACCTCCCTCCTTAACATAACGCACAGTTGCTCTTCTTTCCAGATGGCTGGTGACTCTGAGAAGAAGGACCTGGACTCGGCTGGGAAGGAACGAGAGTCCCGTAAGCGCAGTCGCTCTCGCTCTAGAGAGCGCGATCGTAAAGGATCTCCTGGCCGAGAGCGCAAACGTCACAGATCCCGTGAACGCAAGCGCTCCCGCAGCAGATCCAAATCTCCAGACCGGTGTGTATACAGTTATATACTGTTCTTCTCATATGAAGGCTAACGATCACCAAACACGGACTTTTCTTCTCTGTTTTTAGAGATCGTCGTCTAAAAGACAAAGATAGAGACAGAGACAGAAGCCGCAAAGACCGAGAAAGAGAACGGGATAGACGGGACAAAGACCGCTCCAAGAAATCAAGGTTTGACTTGTATTTAATGCTGAAAATTTCTCGGTAGCTGAAAAATAAGGATCACTGTAGGGACTGGTGCAGTTGATTTGTGTGTCATGTCTTCCTTGATCATGCCGGTGTGTTTTTTTTTTTTTATATACCTGGATCATTTTTGACACGTGCTGAAATTTTTCTGATGAAAGTTCTATAGTTTTTAATATGTAAAAATGTCTAGACTACGGTGACCGGGAAGTGCAAAACAATATTACAAAGTGTGAAACACTTTTACAAAGCTCGAGACAAATTTACATTTTGAAAAACATTTTTACCTATCATAAGACACAATTACATAGGAAAAGGATAAAACAAATTTATATTTTTGAAAAAAATTAACAAAATGAAAAACACTTTTACCATTCCCGAAAGAAATTTACAATTACAGATTCCTTACGGTGTGTGTATCCATATTTCTGTATGCGAATATTCTTTATGTATCTATTTAAAAGCTAAGTGTATATTTATTTTTTGTATTTTATTGAAATTATACTGTTTAAATGATGAATTTATTTTGTCATGATTATAGATAAATAAAAACTCTGAATAGGAAACAAATAATGATATAATAATAATCCTGAGCAATTGACAGCTGACATAGAAGATAAAAGTTTGTGGAGAATGTATACTAAAAGACTATTGTTAATTTTACCCTTCACAAAACCCTTGAATTTCTTGCCGATGGCTGTATTGAAAAATAGATGGGTCTATTATTGTATATCATGATGTGAGACACCTATACCACTGTTTTGTCATTGCAAATCTTTGAATAAATGTTTTTAAAAAGTTATTGATATAAAAATTAAGCATTTCACTATTTTTTTTGGTATTTGTCTTCACAGGAGTGCTTCTCCTAAATC